CCTTTCAGTTGCATGGGAGAGACAGTGATAAGATACACCGGCATGCTCATCCTAGCCCCGCGCTGCCGGGCTTATCTCTCATTATGGTCTTTATGACCTAACGCCACATAGGTGAATCAGACCCACGGCTGTGAAGTGTGACGATTAAATAAAGAGAGGAAGAGTGAGAGAAGGGAGGGAGATGAAAAGCAGGTAAGGAAAGATCACACCGGCCGAAATACACACATTCAGCCTCAACGCCAGACTACCATGTTGGCCTACGATGGCTGTTTGTATGTTATTTTGAAGGACTGGTGGAGAATAAGTCAAAGAAATAAAGAGAAAGACAAAGAGGTTAAATGTGTGAGGCTCCCTGCCTGACGGTCCCCCACATGCTGAGGCACCCAATGTGCGGGCCCCCCCCGCAGCCAGCATTCGCCTCCTTTCTGCTGATCAGGCAGCAGATAATAGGATCAGCGCTGTGCTGACCCGCCCCCAGGAACAGGCAGAATCGCCCGCTCGCTCTGTGCCGGCTTCCTGCTGGCTGCAGGAACATCCAAATAAACAGTCATTAGCACAATGAACCGCAGGACACCAAACCCATCCCAAAGGAGCGCCGGGACACTCAGCTGGTTTGTGGTACATTGGTTAGCCTGGGAGAGAGCAGACTGGCCCACAGGCTAAGAATACAGCCAGTGGATGTTCCTGAAAACGACACACACAGGAAGTAACCTTAAGCTCCACCTTCACCTGCAGACTGACAGTGGTTCTGACCAATCATGCAGCAGATGTCTGTCATTCCCCTAGTGTTCCCCACCTATCTACACAGTTGCCAAAGAACAGGGATGATTCCGAAGGTATCTGTCTCACGGTGGGGTGGGGGGGGGCTGCTATCCAGGGCAGGAGTATAACCAGGTCATAGCGGCCCTGCCCTTATCCAGAATGAATGGGGATAACACTGTGCGGGGAGAGCGATTAAACGCACGCCGGAGTGACAGCCATGGGCCGTGAAGGGCAGTGCCGTGGCACTGAGGAGAGCACAGGCTGTCTGAGTGGCAGCACCGGTGAGTCTGCAGCGGGCACTTCATTAGCCCAGTGTACCCGTAAATCACACGCTAGCTCTTCCTGGAAATGAAGCACCTACTTTTTTTTCCCCACTGAACACTATTACCGAACAATCGCAGGCCAGCCATGATAATTAGTCTGGTATCTTTGTCCTCTGTCGGAACAAGCCATCTCTCCCTTGGATCCCCCGCCGCCCCCCTCCCATCCCTCACTTTCCTAATTGATGTCTGGGGGGTGTGTCATTGTGGAGTGGGTGGGGCTCTGGCTCCTCGCCTCCTCCGTTCAAGGATGATGTAAGCGCGCGGTGGAAAATAGCCATCTGAGAGATCCGCACCGCATCTTAAATGTTCCCCCATGACTATAACCTGAGATTACACTCAGATTTTATTTGATAATAAAAACAATCTTATTGGAGGCATCAGAGAAGCTATTTATTTGTTATGCTCAAGTATCATTAGCCTTTGTAATGATGAGCACCAGAAGGAAGCAGCATCAGCGGTAATCATCTTGGGCAATAACAAAACGGCTCGCGACGGCCGTTTGTCGACACTTGAAACAATGAAAAGAAAGTTCATTCCTGAGCTGTGTTTAAAAAGAAATCCATCCTGAAGAAAGGTCATCAAGGAGACCGGGCTGCAAGTGGGGAAGCGAACTGGGGGCTGAGGGTTGCTTCAGCAGAGTGTTCAGCTGCTTCCCAGCATGCACTTCACTCCCTACGTTGGCATTTTGGGGGCACACTATGGATATATTGTTGACAGTCTGCAGCGTGTAGCTAGGCAGGCCCGATTTGCTAAGTGCGGCGAGAGGCCTCCTTGCAGAGGCCTGGACGGTGCGTGCGATTCTCTGCGTACGTGTCATGGAGGCCCGTAGCCTCGGCACTCGCTCACTGGCCTGCGCCGGCCTGCATCTGGAGAGGATTTAGCGCGAGCAGACACCGAAGACCATGATTACATTCAGTTAACTGCACTTTAAACTGATTATGCATGTGCCAAGCTAATGGAGTACATTTGCAAGAAGAAAAATAACATCCAATCAATCTCAATTACTGCAGACCGCACCGGTCCCAAAGACACAGAAGGTAGGCGGCCGGCCTTTGGAGTTTCTCCTCCCGCTGCCCTGCCTGGGATCAGAGGCTTGGCCCACTGCCCTCAACCTCATTCCTGGGCAGAGCAGTTAAGACCTGATCTATTCCCGCCCTCCAAAAAGGTTGGGCAAAGGTTACCGGAGGGTGGGCCACCCACCTACAACATGCATGGTCTGCTTTAAGGACCAATATTACCAGTAAAATTACCTCACTAGGAAGAGCCCTGACAAAATCATAACCAATAATGAAGCTGACCGACGTATACGTGTGGGACGGCTCAGTGGGTTAGGATGCTGTCAGAAGGTTGTGGGTTCTTATCCCAAGGGTCAGCAGAACGATTTCACCTTCACCCCCCTGCTCTAGGGACCATCTGACTCTGCTTTCTCCAAAAAAAATGTATGCCACTGTGAATAAAAGTGTACGCTTACAAAAATAAACAAACAGATCAAGTGAACTACATATCGACACAAAGAGGAAGGTGAGCGTTACTGCAAATAGGTCTGGAGGGAGCAGTCCTTCAAGAAGAAGGAAGGTCGACAATGATCCATTGGGCAATGGACCGGAAGGTGCATGGGGACCCCCCCGTCACCTCAGAATGGAAGCGGATGAGCAGGCATGCTCAGTCTCAGCCTGGTGGTGGCTGAAATTCAGCCCACTGTACATGCTTTTATTTTGACATACACAGCAGGGATATTTTTAGAGAACCCTAACATGAGCTCTCAAATTATGCTACCCAGCTTAACCCCCTAGTTTAAACCCCACGTTTAATTCCAGTAATTAGAGGGTATGTCTGGTCTGCAGACCGGCACGCGGAGGCTCTGCTTAATGAAAACCAGTGCGATTGGGGTGAAACGTCCACAGAGCTTCCACATCTTACGCGTTACACATGCTGACCTCACCATATAATCCCTTCCCCAAAGGTTAAAAAGTAGCAATTTGCATCAAATTTCTTTTTGGTTAGAATAAATAAATATATTCGGAGTGAGGCGAAGTATATCATCAATCTGCATCTCGCGGACATTGTGTTCTGTCAGGCCTCCCATGCCATCCCATAAATCCAGCCTGACAACAGGCCCATTAGGTTGTTCAGTGGTGGGCCAGCGCTGTAGTAGGTCTGAGGACCATGTACTTATCATCCATTAATCACACTTGCGGGTCGTCATGTTGTGAGAATTTTTGTTTGGTACATGCCTGCCTGATGTGGCCATAACTGCTTCCTGATGCCGGGACCGCGCTCCCTCCAAATGCATCGTTATCATACTTCTTGCATTTCTATGGCTCCCTTAGCTGCTTTTTCAGGCTCGTCCAAGCAGTAAGTACACAGGGGGCCAGAAGTCCTGATAAGGAATCAGTCACCCTGCTTCACTGGCAGGGCTGCCTAACATAGACTAAGACTAAACCATATCTTTTTCAGAGGGTGACCGGGCGAACAGACGGGATGACAGCAGAACGTATCTGGGTCAGAGATGAAATGGAGCGATGTATTGTGCAGGTGGTACTGTCGAGGGGGTGGGACCATTGGTGTTCCCAGGCAGGCACCTTGGGCCCCCAGACGGATGGGGAGCCCAACCCCCCAGGCAGCCCCAGGAGGGTGTCGACCATGCTACAAGAATTGTCTTACATATTTTAAACCTTGTGGTATTTGTAAATATCCTGACAGCGTGTCTGAGCTTGAGTTGCTGTGACGATTAGAGCGTTCTCTCCTTCGACCATGGTGGCGATATGCCGACCTTACCGCTCAACGCGGAGTCATTCTGCTTGTGCCTAATGGATGAACTGGGACTGAAGTCTCACACCTCGCATTTAAAGAACATATTCTGACTGTAAATGCAGGTGTCTTTTGGCACACGGAGCAGAAGTGACAGGAGTACGGGAAGCCCAGGCCTCATAGAAGCACGACACTGAATTAGCGAGCTCCAACTGCAACTGATGGGGTTTTTCCATCATGCCGTTTTATTCAATTTCTGCAGGACAAATAGGGATAGGGCCAGGAATATGGCCTATAATGTTGGGATGGTTATCATAAGAAGAATCAGCACCGAGCTGTGATGTTTACTTTGTGCAGATTGAGTTTGTGCCATTAAGACACTCTGCAGGGCTTCAAGAGAGTGAGCGAGCGAGACTCACGGGTGTGACCTGTGCCCTCACACACGTGCCAGCAAGGGACAGGAACGTGAAGACAAGAGGGACATGCCATGCAGAATTACGGACCGTTCATCCAACGGCCATCGCAGAACAACACGAAGGAAAGATGAAAGAACAAGTTCAGCACGGATCAATACGACTATGCAGAACAATTCTGTCCTTTTCTCTGCATTCAAAGAAAATGAGCCTCTGATGGCCAGTTAAACACCTGGGGTGTTTCTCAATATGCGTACTTGACCATACTTGTGTTCTTGTGTACCCGTTTAATGTCATCATCTATTGCTGAAGACCAGTTCCAATACTCAAGAACACAAGTACAGAGAACAGTAAAAATCAGGGGATGTAGGTCTTGATCCACCCCAAATATCAAGGATACATTGGTTACATCCTTGCCAAAGGAGACTAATCCCATGATTCATTGTGCCCCAAGTTCATTCTTGGAAAGCAAAACTGCAAGACCAGTCTTAGCAAGACTACAGGTATAATCTTTGCATTCTTGTATTGAGATTCATCCCTACAGTCGAAGTAAAGTAAATGATTGTCATCTCACTGCAAGGTGATGCACACTGTCACCTGCATTAATGAATGCCATTTCAGTCTTTGGAGCAGAAGCTGCAAGATTCAGTTGAGAGATTCTGATCGCTTTGGTTTAAGTAACTCCAGGGACTCCTAGGGGGAAACCATCCGGTGATATTAGTGCACGCCCCCTCCCCCAAGGAAGACTTACCTTGTACAGCTTGAGGCTGGCCTCGTGCCGGGAGCTGACAGTGTGCAGCCGCAGCTTCTCCAGGCTGTTGGTGTAGTAGTCGCAGGCGTTGCACTTGAGGTGCACTGGGTTGCCGATGGCGACACACTTGAGGCGCCACTCGTTGCCCTTGCCGCCCTCCTTGATGTGCGCCACCAGCTGGTACTTCTGCACGTGCTTGTCGGTCTTGCAGTGCAACTGGAAGTTGGCCTTGAGCTGTGTGGTATAGCGGCACAGCTTGCACTGGTGCGAGTCGGCCACTGTAGCCCGCCACTCGTCCTCGGGCAGCGTGCGCTCCGCGCCCATGTGCAGACCCAGCACGTCCAGGTTGTCTGTGGAGAAGCGGTTGCACACGGCGCACTGGAAGAGCTTGAGGGAGGGGTCGCTGGTCTGCGACAGGCTCTCCCCCAGGGTCATCAGCTCCTCGGACACCAGGGGGCCACCGGCCAGTCGCATGTCCATGGGTATGTCCCCACCTATTGATGCAGAGATGCCATTATTTTCACAAAAAATACAGAATTCACCTACCGGTCTTATCTGTCCCGCTCATTTTTCATTGATCCCTTAAAACAGGGATGGGGAACCTGTTCCATGGGGGGCCGGTGTGGGTTCTTGGGATGACCTTTCAATCAGCCAATAATAAGGCAGTGGTTCTCAACCCGAGTCCTGGGGACCCACCTTTATTGGCTGATTGAGGTGTCATTCCAAAAACCCGCAACCACACTGGTCATCCAAGGATCAGGTTCCCCACCCCTGCCTTAAAATAACAGAAGTAAGTTGTTGAATGAGTACTATAAGTACTGTTTTAAGTACTGGAAGTCCACACCTTTGGCACAGCACAAATCAGAATACCCAGAAAGTTCAGAGAGGGACAAGCACCTTAGGATGGGAATATAATGTAGCCCGAGTCTGGCTGAAGCACTACTGCAATCCCACCCTAAATCATCTGAAGGAGCCCAGGGCCCCAGCAACCAGCTTCTCCAGCAAATGAAGAGAGTAATCCCAAACTAAACTCATCCCAATCAGCCGCTTTATAAGGAACAACAACTTCATCCTTCAGGACGCTTCCAGTAAATCACCACAGACAGTCGGGGTGCAATGAGCAGCTCTCTAAAGCCAAAAAACAAATAGAAAAAACACTACTTAATTCCAAATCAGAAAAGCATGACTCAAATAAAAACCTACTAAATAAAACTGGAGAAATGCCTCAAGTTTTTTTTTCTCATTGCTAGCCCATAGCTTCCTGATATTTAATCTATCACTCCCCAGACTGCGAGCAGCGACTGACCCAGGCCGTCTTTACATTAAATTAACTCCACCAGCCATTTCTTTACTGCCGTCATATGAAAGCTACAGTCATACTTTTCTCCATTACCCAGGTTATTAGAGCCGAGAGGACCTCTCTGAGATCAGAAACAATGTCCTGCTGTACAAATGGACTTCGTAAACTTCAATAAGGGCTGGGCTAATAAAAGTGAACAATAAAGAATAATAATAATAAAAAAACATTTAAAGAACGCTTGCAGATCTGTTTCCACTCTGCGGAGCTCTTTGCTCATGTTTTGCCAGGAAGTTTAAGGATCGTCATTACATTCAGGTCAGTCGAGCTTAATCTAAAAGAAAATCCATAAAACAACTATAAAACACAAACGCGACTGAATGGAGAGCAAGGGCACCTGGACAGAGAGATTTACGTACTGTATTTAAAGAGTTTAACAGCAATGAGCCTCACTGAACCACTCCTTTCAAGCCCAGGCTATTCTAATCAGTATTTTAACACAAATGATTAATGCTGCCATTATATTCTAAACATGCAAAGTGCATGACCTGGATTTAGGCAGTTGTCAGAGGACCGTGGCTGGTTAAAGACAAACTGGCCAGTATAATCTAAGGCAGTGATTCCCTACCCGGTCCTCAGGGAACCTCAGACAGTCCATGTTTCTGCTCCTTCTCAGCTCCTGGTTAGTAGGGTGACCAGATAATCCATGTCAGGTAGGACACTTTGAGCTAGGGCGAATTCGTGAACTGTCATTTCAATTAAAGCGACCTGAGTTTCACTTTAGCAGTTCTTGCTGTGTGCTGATTGGTCAGTCTCCTATGATCATGCATGTGTCACTTATGTTGATGTGAAACAGCTGGATGAGTCTTTCATTCAGTGAAACAAACCAGTCAAAGCACAAGAAGAACTGAACTATTCAACCAAACACAGGAGCTTTTCAGTTTTAAAGTAGTTTGTGAAACCCGAAGTAACTCAAAGTGTCCTCCCTGACATGGATTATCTGGTCACCCTACTAACCAGGAGCTGAGAGGGAGCAGAAACACGGACTGTCTGAGGGTCCCTGAGGACCGGATTGGGAAATGCTGATCTAAGGAAGGAATCAAAGATCTATATTATTACTGAACGTGACAAAATCGCTACTAATGCCAGGGCCCCAATATACACTGAGAAACAAGTTGACATATGGGCACTTTAACAGCTTGTACCCCCGCAGTCCCAGACAAAGACAGAACTGCATTCGGACTGAGGAAGGTCTACAGTGACTTGTCACGCAGTCAAAGAAGCTGAATGAACAGATCCTGTGAAAGGGAGCCAGCGGGGGTAAGGATTGACCTATCTGCTTTGTGAAGGCCCCGGGTTGACGGGGGTGGCTCTCATTCACTGCACCCATCCCTCTCTCTCTCTCTCTCTCTCTGCCTGCCCACTGCTGGCTACAAAAGAAAACCGTGCTGGGTTCAGCAGGGCAGGTGTACCCCGAGGCAGCCCATAGACTGAGGGCTGAGACTCAGGCCGAGAGGCAGAGAAGGGGGCGGAGCAACAAAATGGGGGGGGGGTGCCCATGTGTTCCTGACTCATTAACCTTTTACCTCCTAACGCCCTCCGAGTGAAGCGGACCTTGGAGTGAGGGAGGGCTGACGAAGTCCAGCTGATCCTTTTAACATGGGCTGGGGAATGGTACTAATGTTACTCCTCTAATAGCATGCGACTAAACCCGCTGCACTAGATGAGGAGACGGGAAATTCCACTCACACTGGGCACGCAGTTTACCATTTTACCGTTTTAGCCTTTTGTTCATCTAAATCTCAGACAGTTGGGCTCTGTTTGAATACAGGGAGTTGATGACGGTATGAACTCCCCCTGAACTGGAGTCAGGCTTTTCTGGGAGTGTGAGAGAATGTTGGATTGCTCCCATGGCCAATTTGGAGCGACGGCACCCCCGGAAATGGGATCTCACCAAGCGAGGGGCCCAGGGCCACCATGCTGGGGTCCAGGTGGAAGCCGCTGAGCAGGAACTGGGCATCGGCCCCAGACGGGTCCATCTTGAGGCCAGGGGGCAGGTTCATGTTTTGGGACAGGTAGTACTGGTAGAGCTCGGCCTCGGAGGGGGAGGGCAGCCCCCCCAGGCCCAGGCGGCCATGCTGTATCTGCACCACGTTCTGCTGCAGCAGCATGACGTTGTGCATGTGCTTCTCGCTGGTCATGTGGATGCGCAGGTTGCGCGCCACGTTGGTCTCGTAGTCACACACCTCGCAGCGCCACATGGGCTTGCTTTTTGGCTTGGTGGGGGAGGGTGCACCACAGGCCCCGCCCACGTGCCCGGCTGATTGGGCCGGGTGGTGTGGATGGACAGGAGGCTGTGCAGCTGGGGGCACGGGCACCACGCCACCGGGTGCGTGGCCAAACACCTGCTCGCCAGAGGCGGGGATGGAACCACCGTTCTGCAGTGTCTGCATGTTGTTGAGGTGCTTGTCCGACTGCATATGGATGCTCAGGTTGCCCTTGGTGGTGGTGGAGTAGTTGCAGACCTCGCAGCGGAAGGGCTTGTAGCCACAGGTGTAGCTTTCGCCGCGCGCTAGCCGTGGGTGGCCCTGCCCAGTGCTGCAGTACATGCAGGAGCCCCCCGAGTCCGGGTGCTTCTCCTTCATGTGTGCCTCCAGCGTCTGCTGGTACTTGTAGTGCCAGTTGCACTTGGGACACTTGAGCGTCTTGCACGAGTTCCTGGAGTGCATCATGGTCATGTGGCCGCCCAGGGAGCGGGAGGAGCCCAGCACGGTGTCACACTTGGGGCATTCGACGCCACTGCCTCCGGCCCCGTGGTTCTGAGGGCACTCCCCTACCCCAGTCAGGTCGCACGGCATCCCAGGGTGAGGGTGTGAATGGCCGTGTCCATGGGGGGAGGGATGGAGGTGGTGGTGATGGTGGTGGTGGAGGTGGTGATGGTGCAGCAGAGCCCCACTATCCTCCTCCCCCTCAGCTGGGCTATGATTTGGTTCAGGAGCTGTGGCACTGTCTTGATTGGCACTTTCGTCTGAGGCAGCGTGGGGGGGTAGAGGGGGGGAGGCGCTACCCGGCGAGCACGCCGGCATGTCGTCTTTGCCCCCTCGGCCGGTTGTGGCCTCTCCCGGCATGGGCAGAGAGGCCCCCTGGCAGTTAAAGCTGAAGGGTGGCTCGGAGCTCCTCCCTCCGTCGTCTGCTGAAGCCCCGCCTTCTGACGTCCTCCCAGAGAAGGAGGTGGAGGCAGCGGCTCTGCCTGCATGCGTGGGGCTGGCTGCAGGACAGCGGCCAGAAGGCTGGAGAGAGCTACTAGGCATTAATAAAAGAGATTTGGAAACACTTTGGTTTGACACAGCTGGTCTCCCCCCTTCTCCACCAACGCTACCACTGCTGCCACAGGCCTTGAGAGTGCCTTCCTCCCCTTCCTCATCTTCTCCCTCTTCTAATGACACTTCCTCCCCCCCTGAGACCACTTCCATGCTCCTCACGAGTCCTCTGCCCTCCCCCGAGTCCCGCTCCCTGTCTCCGCCCCTGGGTGTGCGATCTCTCCCAGCAAGCCCATCGGCTCTCCCTGACTGCGGAGGCTGCGCACTGGAGTCTTTGGCAGGGTCTGAAGTTGAAGTGAGAGAAGATGACTTTGGGCTTCCCAGTGCTCCCAGTGTCAGGAGAGGTCCCAATGGGGACTGCTTGAGGCCTAAATCAGAGTCCTTGCTGAGGAGAGCCTCACTCCCTCTGCCGTTGCTCCCTGGGTCTAAGTGGACCCCACTGAACGTGCCATAGAAACTCTGGCCCGAGCTGAGAGGCATCAGCACGGGCGGCGAGGGCGAGCTTCTGTTTTTTGGTTCCAGGAAGCTGATGAGGGGCTCCTTGTCCTTCCCGATGCCCTGGATGATGGCCGAGGCATGCTTGTGGCCCAGGAGCTGCCGCTCGTCCTCGTTAAGAGTCATGCGGTGGTCATGCACGGCATGCGTGACGAAGGAGCGCGCGTAGCCGAACGAGAGCTTACAGAGGAAACACATGAGGATGGGTTTCCCTTTGCCATATAGGGCCAGCCCGTCGAATTTGGAGAAATCCACATTGTTGGGAACATCTTTGGACACACAGGACTTCTTGGCCGAACCGTCGCTGTTCAGGTAATCCTTGTTATTTTTGTGCCGCACGTCAAAGACGCGGAAACTGTGCAGGACAGGGCTCAGGCCGGCCAGGGTTGAGGTACTGGGGAATCCTTGGTCTGAGGGACCGAACCACTTGGCAAAAGATGAGGCTATGTGGAACGTGTTGATGATCTGTGGGTAGACCGAGGGAGAGGTCCCAGCGGCGTCCCCCAGCTTCCCTGTCCCAGGCAGGGAGTTTGCAGGGAGCAGACTCGACACTGCACCCCCATCACTTTGGATGAGCTGACTGAGACTCTCCACGACATAGGCCGAGCCGTCAGGCTGGTAGACAATCTCCCCAGCCAAGTTCTCCACATCGCTGCTCTCCTCTCCCTCCTCCTCCTCGCTCCCACTCTCTGCCATGCCTCTACGTTGCACCTGCCGTTGGCGCACAAGAGTCGGCATGGCTCCTTCCTCAGGATCGATGGGCAGCAGACTCGGGAAACAGCCATCTATCTCCATTTCATCCAAGTCATCCAGCTCCTCATCCTCCTCTTCTCCACAGCCAACCCCTTCGTCCTCCTCTTGCAGCCCCAAGTTTCTAGACTGCTGATGCCTTATCGCTGAAACTATGCTAGAGGCTGAGAGCACAGGTGGACTTTGGGACTGCTGCTGCTCCTTCAGACTCTTGTGGGGTATGCTGAGACCTTGGACCTTGGAAGGGTAGGGGGCAGAGAGGGACAGGGGCTCCAGGGAAGGGGTCTGGCTGCCAGGAGGGACCTGCACGTTAGAGAGACTGTTCCAAGGCTGCGAAGGGCACTGTTGCTGCTGGGATGTGGAGAGGGCGAGCCCATCGTCTGTCCCAGAAATCACAGGAGACTCACAGCTTTCCATGCTGACGCCTACATGAGGTGTTCATTGCACCCAGGCCTACGAGAATAAAGCAGAAGAGAGAGAATGTTACAAGGTTAAGCACTGCTTCATAACATATGGGGGTTGGCTTCACGATTCAAAGTACTCAGGAACATCTCGGCAACGTGACTCGCTCTATGAAGAACACGCTTTATGCATGTGTAAGATTGAATTAGTCAGACTACACACATCAAATTAGGTACTTAAGTGCAATACTTATTAAGCAATAAAATATCATCTGCTGTTATGATTCTATATGTTGCCATCCATCACCTTCCACTTCCAACCTTGTTTTGCAGACCCATCATGAGCTTCTTTTAAATAAACATCCAGTGAAAAACAAATTATGTTCATGCATTAATAAAGAGGGCTGACTGTGATTACGGTGAAGTCTTGGGAACGCTGTACCTTCGTATGATCCATTTACATAATTGTGCAAAACATTAGTGCTGTTAAACACAGTCGCTGTAATGTTCCTTCACTTTAGAGTCCCCTCACACGGCACTTAAGTCACACAAAAAGGCTCACGGAATATGCAGAGAAACAAACGGCTGCACTAACACACCCTTTAACATTCCCTTTAACTCCTGTCGCCTGCCTGTTGCTTTGCTGTACACATTCATGACTAATACTTTCCCATTGGCTACTAGAAATATATGTTGCAGGGGGAAAAAATGGTCATAAACGCACAAATATTCGGGACCCTTTCAAGAATCTCTTCAAAATAAATCTGAAATATATCAAATGGTAAAAAATTTAACCTTTGCTTGTCACTGGGGTTTACCCTCAAGGGTCTGTCAATTGTACTCTTAGCTGTTGGTAATTGTACCATTTTCGGTACAGAAATGGACTCTGGGGAACATTCTCCATACCTTTGGGATGTTCCTCAGAGTCCATTTCTGTACCTTAAAAGGCAAAATTACAAGGGTACAGCCCCAATGACAAGCAAAGGTACATATTTTTAGTATAGAGTCACTTCAACATCAGGAGACCCATGTTAGCAAGTGATATGCTGAGCCAATAGCTTTATTAAAGGAATGCAGGCGGCATTGATTAAGGGAGGTGACTGGATGGAAAGCAATAACTCTGCTCTGGTCTTTAACCTTGAATGGTGAATATTAAATGCAGAAAGCTTCCCAGAACAGCGCGATGCAGAGGCCTAGCCTATTAGCGCATTAGCCGCCTCTAGCTCATTGATTTTCTTACAATGAAACTGTATGCCTTCTGTGAAAAAAGGACACACAAAAAAAAACATTAAACAAAAATTTGCACACTACTGAAAATAAGGCAAAGGGTTATTATTGAGGAATTTCCAAGCTCCCGCACATGTGGCTAAATTAGCTTGACGGACTTTTAATGTGCATGATAGGATAGCCAGTCATGTGACTCTCTCGGCCTGAGGCCTGAAGCTCCGTTTCCTAAGTGGTAAGAGAAACACTCTGACATGTACAGCACCTGTGCTTTTCCTGGGGGAAGGGGCTTCCTGCATGGGACAAATGCACTGCATGCATGAGGCTGACCTCAATGAGAAGCAGCTGTAAAATATAATACTTCCTGCCAATGTGAGCTTGGCCATCACTGTTCCACTACCCCCCCCCCCCCCCCCCCGAGGATGCACAAGCTAGGCGGGGGGGTGGCGTGTGGCTCAGCGAGTTAGGATGCTGTGTTTTTGATTGGAGGGTCACCAGTTCAAATCCCAGGGTCAACAGAGTGATTTCACCATTGGGCCCTTAACCCCTAGTTGCTCAATGGACTGTGGGATCCTGCTTCCTCAAAAATGTGTGTTGCTGTGGATAAAAATGACAGCTTATATTTTAAAAAAGGTAAAGGTAAGTAGGCACATCTTAAAGCACAACCAATACAGACTAGCTAGAAAAAAAGTCTCCATCCCCTTAAGCTTACATTGTACATCCTCCTGCTCTCAGCATAATCATGGAGTCCACCCAAACAGGAACAGTAAGCCTTTGTGATGGAGAGTTGAAAACATTTTCCAGCCTGTGCTTCTAATGACTAATAACAGAAAATGATCCTGTTCCTAAAACAAAAAAAAAGAAATCCAACAAACAAACTCTGACAACTTTCACTCCCAGGGGTCTCACAGTCATTCAAAGCAGATGAAATGATTTTGTTATTATTATTTAAAAAGCCAACATACTGAGACAAATGAAGGCCCAGAATCCTTCCCTATATAAACATGAAAAACCTTGCGGCTCGCAGCTGGACACTTGCAGAATGCCTGGCGGTTTGCTTTGTCTATGGAATGCATTGTGTGAAACTCGGGCTTAGCACCACTCAAGGTGTGAACTTTCGCCTTGCCCCTAAAGCTCAGAGCCATGTTGGAAAGACACCGAGACGAGCACAACATCCCCTACACACCATCAGCACCCCCATATCAGTAAAGAGCCCTTGCAATGCAATCTGAAAGAAAATGAGTTGAGTTCAGGATGCTGTTGATAAGGTATCATTTGATGTTGCAAGACAGATGCACTTATCAACAAGCAAACCACTGTGCTCAGTGGACAATTATTAATGCACAACAATGCTACCTTTTTCCAAATACCATCAATATTTTTGTCACCCATCAGTTGTTAGACAGATCTTTCACCAGTGCATCACCAGTGCACCACCTGTCACCATACCCTCCTTGGCCTGAGTCACATTTTTCACCCAAATAACCAGCAGATAAAACTGCACTAGAAACTCTGCAGAGAACATGACACTTAAAATCGCATTTTTTGGGCAACAATCCATATTGCAAGAAATATAAAAATAATTAAAAATTAAACATATTAGTCCACACTAATTCATTCATAATTCAAAGCAACAGTAATAAGTACCTGCTCTTCCGATAAGTATGATTTTCCCCCTTTTCAATTCTGAAAAATGGAAAAAATAAAGGATCTAATCTGTCTGTAGAGCTATGTGTGTCTGTCTCCATGTCTTGATCAGCCCTTAATATAACAGCAGGGCAACTCTGCTTCCTCTCCTACTTAAGGAGGCAAAAAAAAAGTCAGCTCAGGTCGATGGCACTCAGTCAGCAGACAATGCTTCCCGTAAAATCAATGATGTTCAGGTCTAGCTATCAGTCTGAGAAGCAAAAATAACTGTGGCTCTGACGGGACTGCAGGTGGGGCACTGCTGCAGTAGGGAGAGCAGCAATTCTGGAATACTTCAAGGGGCATGAAGTGACTGTGACACCCCCCACCCCACCCCATCCCACATCGAAACAACTGTACTGCCCTGCACTACTAACATTATCAAACCCAACAGAACCTTCAAGGGAACAGAAGTTTTTTATTTATTTTTTTTTAGATTAGTACGTTGTAAATCTGGGATTTTAACTATTTTTTTTTAGAAGAATAGGCCGGGAATATAAAACATGAGCAGCCACCAGTAACCTGCCAAACCACTGTGTGTGACAATAAGGACGCTCGCTTTCCAACAGGACACAGAGTGCAGAGCCAAGCGGCCGAAACGACGAGAACTTCAAAGCTAATGCTGCCCACGTGTCATTTCACACGAGTTAAAAAAAGCCTGTGAGGCAATTACAAAGAGTTAATTAGCCATGAGTTAATTACCTAATTCTAAAGGAAGTTAGTTAAAAATATAGTGTGTAGGGAGACATGGTGAGGTATGGGCACTATGTGGTAGGCAGGGGGCCCCCAGCAGAGCTGGGAACAAGCTGCGGGAGGGGGGGGGGGGGGGGCGCTGGCCCGCATGCACCAGGCGGAGTCAGGAGTCAGTAGGGCAGGTTCAGGTTTTAAACGACACTGCCACTACTTCAGCTTTCAGTCGCCGTCTCACAAATCAGCCACTTTTCCACAGTGTCAACAATGCAAATCAATCACAGGTGACAGTGGTCAAGAAAACACTGCTGCTAAATTCCCCGTTAAAGTGAAATAAATAAGTAAAGTTCAAAGCAGTGGGTTACCGCTTTCATGATACGGAGCCCAAGGGCAGCACAGCCACAGGCCGCACAGCGAGCCTCCCCCAGTGGACCATCTGTGCTCTCTAAATGCATTACTTATCTGTGGGATAAAGGTATCGATGTATGATCAGAGATGAGCAATTGCACTCCTACCACAAAACCTTCATTTGACCCCAGGCAACTTGGCTGACACTGCACCGCATTAGACAGGAACCCGGGGGAGGGGTGACAGGTCGTGGGAGAGGGAACACGTCAGACTGTGTATGCATGCACGTGTGTGTCACTGCGCATGTGTAGGAATAACTTGCAAGGGATGCTGTTTCTCTGTGACAAGACCCAAGGACTGTGTGTCATGTTAACCCTGGAAGATGGGCTCACACTGGACCAGGTCAGGCTCCTCGGGGTAGCCCATGTGCCCCCGGCGCTGGTAACCCTAACCCTAACCCTGGCCGCATGGGCTCCACGTACAGGGATGGCAGTACTGTCTCGCTCACCTGCAGTTCCTCCGAACATCAGCTGATCCCCCATATCAAGCAGCCCCCCCCCCCCTCCATTCAACATCAGCTTTCCCGCGAAAGGTCACCAGGCTGTGAGGCACAGAGATTAAAGGCAGCCAGGCCTCACACTTTCAATTTCATTAATTATTCAACTGCGACTATTTCTGTCTCTGGAAATATCCCTTTATTTCGGCCAAAGTGGGAGACCGCAAACGTGTTTCTTTATTTTGACTATAATTTTATTAATGTATGTATTTTAACACAGCACTGGGGTGCGGGGATAAGAAAAGCAAGGTGACTGCAGGACGCAGCCATCCGCTTTTTACAAGGGCTTCCCTGATTGCCACCAATCAGCAGTTGTGTACGCCCAAGACAATACTGCAAGCAACGGGAAAAAACAAGGGGCGGGGCACAGGTACAAATAAGGTAACCTTATTTTCTCCTCTGTGCGACCCTCACCTTCTGCATGCAAAGTTCATTTTGCCAAACATCTGTGAGTCTTTACGCTCAAATAATCGTAAAAAAAAAATCCAATCGATGTGGAGAATGAGTTCACGACGTCGAGGGTGCGTCGCCACGAAGCTCACGTTGCC